CATTTCAAGGAAAAAGCATACAGGATCATTCTTTAAACAATTCTATGTCTAAATCTAATTATGTAATCTACAGTTAGGTGATTGTGTATGTATATGCATATACACATTCTGAATAATAAATGTAAACTTTTAAAAAAATAGTATAATTATTTAGGTGGGCTCAAGGATACAGTTTTGAGTTCTTAAAATGTTTAATAATTCTTATCAATTTATTCTTAAACATTTCATATTTCTAGCATTCTAGTATTTAAATTTTTTATTTGTTCTTTTTAGTTATACATGACAGTAAAATATATTTTGACATATTATACATACATGGAGTATAACTTCCCATTTTTTTGGTTTCCAATGTGTAGTTATAGTGGTTGTATATTCATATAAGAACATAGGAAAGTTATGTCCAAATTATTCTGTGGTCTTTCCTATTCCCATCTCTCCCTTCCCTTCATTCTCATTAATCTAATCCAATGAACTTCTAGTATTTTTAAGCACCAATTATTACCTGTCATATATAAATGATCTTTATAAATAGTTGAATGTTGAGCTCTTACACAATTTTTTTTGTTATCTGAAGACATTGCTTTAAATATAAAATGTATTTCAAAAGTAAATTTGTAACAATTTATTTCATATTTTTAAAAAATTTTCACATTGCTGAAGGTTTTCATGATATTTATAATTTGTTCATTCATTTAATATATTTGGTTATATCTTATATTTTCTCAGTAAATTAAAACATTATTTATATTCTTTTAAGTAAATATATCTCTCTTGATAGTTTCGTTAATGCTTCTGAATTTTCTAAAAGGGAAAAATTGAAGGAAAATATATAAATTTGATCACTAAAATTCCACTTTAGATCATTACCTGTAATATTTCTTCTTTCCCAAGGGATTTGGGGAAAGCATCATTTGTGCATTCGATGAATATGTAAATATATATTTTACTGTGTGTACAATCTCTTGTCATCTGTTTTATTTCTTAATCTGTGTTGTACAGGTAGTGCCATTAAGATGTTTCATATACATCAAAAGTAGGACACCCAGAAGATGATGACAGTATAATTTCATAGTACATCATAAACTATTCAACTTTGGCACAGTTGAAGATTACTTCAGAGTTCTGAATTAATCTGAATGACTCCAGCTTTATTGCTGTTGAGATTCTAGAAATGATAATATGTCAAGTCATTGAAAATAAACCGACAGAACCTAAACAATCTGACATGACTAATGCACAGCTTCTCTGACTTTTTCCATACTCTGTAGCCTCTATTACCAGCTGCAGTATTTTACAGAGCAATGCTTGTCTTAATGAACATGCACATCTTTCATCTTATTGAAATATATGTCTGTTATGTAAAGAACAGAAAATCCACTGTCTGTGTATTTGAGTTTTACATGCACTAAAACCCCAATGCACAGAAGAAATGTAAGTGATAAATAATTTCTTTACTCTATTATGTCTTAATTTTAAGGGATACAGATTAGTCAAATGCTGTTACATCAACCATATATGGACAATGCAACTCTGAATTTATCACAAGTTTTCCAAAGCCATTAAATATTAATGAAATTTGTGAGAATGCTCTGAGATGACAATTTTCAAAAAGAACTGCTTAGATAACTTATAATTTATATTGACAGAGTACTACAAAGGATAGCTATCTTCACATTTATTGTTAATGGCCTCATAAAGTGCTCTTTTTTAAAGCATAAAATTCATATCTTGGCATAGTGTCTTCAAGGGGGGTTATTTCATCTCTAGTCTGCATTACTTGGTACCCTTCAAAGTTTAAAATGCTTTTTCTCACAATAGAGGGTTTCAGTTCTGGCTAGACTTTCCATACTCACTAACCATTATCCAGTAGACATGACTCTAAGCTTTATTATTTTTCTCGATATACAATTTATTTATTTTTGCTTCTATACTTTTCAAATGAAAAGCTACCTTATGAAATCTAATACGCAACTTGAAGCTGCTCTCACTGAATATATTGGAAGGTATCTGAAGAAATACCCTATGCTCTTTATATACTCCTATTTTCCTAAAGATATCATCCAACACCTGCCCTGCACTCCTCAGGGAGGTATCCTCACCAACCCAACATGCTGTTGCTCTCAATTTTTAGCCTTTTACTTTGTAATGTTTAACAATACATTTCCTAACTAAATATCCTAATAGAGGGAGATTTATAGTACTCATTCAACTTAAACCTCCATTTCTCTATTTTTTCAGCAAAAAATTTAAGCCTCTAACACTGATGGACCATGAGATTGGACTGTGACTAATCATACTGTCAATTTAAGGCTTTTATTGATTCTTCTGATTTTTATCCCAATCACACAGTGAGAATCAAATGTTGTAGACTCACTTCCTAATAAATCATATTTCCATTTAATAGACATTAAAAATTTAAAAAGGAAGTGAAAAATATCTCATATATTCTATGCTCGGTTCCTTTTCTCTGAAATTTCTCTCTGAGAAGTTGAGTAAAACTTGAGTGACTATGCCCCATGCCTTACTGCCACACTAAAAATAAATTCAAGCATCTTCATGCTTACTCAAAACTCAGGAGTCCCTCAATTCTGTACTTATTGAGAAATATTTGTGATCTGAAGAATGTAGGTGGCAATGGTCACATTAATTTCTACTAGGTACTCGTCACTATTTGATAAAAGACAGATTGCCCTTGAATGTCCCACTTCCCACTTTATCCTTCTTGGAGACAATTGGGAAACATTTAATCCTTTCATTTTTGATTTTTTTATTTGATCTGGTGGTCTAGGTTTCAAACCCTGCTTAAAATTTAGTGAACATTGAACATCTGGCAGCAACTGTGTTGTTTGGCAAATAAAACCTAATGAAAACAATACTAGTTTATGAGAAATGGCTACTTTGATCAATTACTATGATTTTCATTAAATAGGATTCCTTCATAAAGTCTATATTAATGCTCCAACATCGTCACTAGAAAGTTTTATTATCTTTTGTTTGTATTGTATATTTACTTATTTAAACTGTATAGTGTATTCTTTTAGAAAGTCATCTTACATGTATAATACTAAACAATTAATTACTTATACACAATTATTTTAGGTCACTATAAACTATACCTTCTAGCGGGACACAGTGGCTCATGCCTGTAATCCCAGCAGCTCAGGAGACTGAGGTAGGATCATTGCAAGTTCAAAGTCAGCCTCAGCAAAAGCAAGGTGCTTACCAACTTGGTGAGACCTTGTCTCTAAATAAAATACAAAATAGGGCTGAGGATGTGGCTAAGTGGTTGAGTGCCCTGAATTCAATATCTGGTACCAACCCCAAATATATATACCTTTTTTCTTGTGTATCAAATAAACAAGGTATAGGTGGATATTTAGCCCTCTTAAGACGGAATGTGTGTTCTATTGAGGTGATGGTCTTTCGATGTCAGTTAAAATAAGTCAGATTTCAACATAATTTACAAGAAAAAAAAGTGGGAAATATTTGGGAGGTAGAGGGTAGCTGGCAAGATTTAACTGTTACCAGGGCTGATGAGATTACCAAGTTTGGCAACTGATTGTGAAATAATTATATATTCTATAAAAATAATTGGTAATGAAAAATGAAGTGACTTAATTTACAAACAGGTATGATTAATAATTTTTGATGCCATCTTGAAGCAAATAATTATAATTTTTAAAAGTAATTTGTTGAGTGAACTTCACCATGCAAGAAAAGTCTTGAGTGCCTTTATAACTCAATATCCACGTATGTACTAGAATTCTAAAATAACTTAATCACTGCACTTGGTTTGTCCATGGGAAAGTGACATTCAAAATTTATTTATAGAATTTGAAACTGGAATTCCAGTATCAAAATTAAAATATTGAACTTCTTCATTCACTTTAGCATCTGCATTTTTAATTTCCTCCTTTTCTTTTCTTTTTTTTAACTTTGATTTGAATATTATTGTTTAACCCATTAATATTCACTTTGATGAGATGTTCAAAAAATAATATGTCCTACTTATTTTCTTCATCTCACACTTTAAATTTTTGACAAGGTTTTAAATTACCTCTACTATTTTTCATAGTCTTGGAATATTTTCCACAGATAAGTATTCTTTTGTTTTCATTTTTTCTGATCCAGTACTTATTTCATGTAATGTAAGTATTCCATTTGGTGGTAAAAATGATCATTTTAATTTTTTCTCCTTTAATGAGAAAAAGAAAAAAAATTGGGGAGTCAAACTTTATGTACTCAGTTTAAATATTAGAAAATATGCCGAGTTAATATGTATTAAAAATGAGCTGACGCCTGGCATGCGCATGGCTCTGGGTTCGATGCACCACATACGAATAAAGATGTGTCAGCTGAAAACTAAAAAATAAATATTAAAAAAAATTATCTCTCTCTCTCTATTTCTCTCTCTCTCTCTCTCCCTCTTTAAAAAAATGAGCTCAATCTTTGTCTCCAATATGCTTTATTTAAATTCATCGAGGTAGAATTTTGTATTAGTGTACAGCTTATCATTTCAGTTCATTGTAAGATACATTCAGTCATTGTAATGATTACTTTCTGGATACATAACCTTCACATTCATAAATAACTATCCATCTATCTTTTATCTATTTATCATCTATTTATTAATTATATATATTTTCGTTGTGTTTTAGATTCTATTTTATTGGTATTGATTACTTTTGTAACAATTATGAAGACTTTTACCCTCACATATAAGGTATACTTTGATATCAATCATATTAAAATATTTCCATATAGTAATTTTAATATAGCACACTCTATTATTTATAATACCCATTTAAAAATCAAAAGCAGGTCTACTGAAGTGAAAATGAAGTTATTACATATAATCATAATCCTTAACAGCAAATTGCCTTTTCATTTTGCTCTATAATGTTCCGAATTTGATTTACTTTGTGCAGTCTACATTTTTCAAACCTGATAATCTTTCTTTACTAGTTCACTGTCAATGCAAATTACATATATTTTATCAGGCATCTTCCATCTGAAAGTTCCTGAATCTTCTCCTGTTGGCTCAGCTATTGGAAGAATAAGAGCTGTGGATCCTGATTTTGGACAAAATGCGGAAATTGAGTACAATATTGTTCCCGGAGATGGAGGGAATTTGTTTGACATCGTCACAGATGAGGATACACAAGAAGGAGTTATCAAACTGAAAAAGGTACATAAACAAAGGTTTTGACAGTTTACTATCTAATAATAATTAAAGAAAATGAAAGGGTATAAGCAATTTTAATTTTCCTTTAATTAGTAATATTTTAAATAAAACATTAAATGTTATAATTATGAAATATTCACTCCCACAGATAGTGTTATTCTATGATTTAACAAATATGGATTTATATTGAATAATGAAGCCTAATAGTTTGATTATGTACTTTTTTAACACTCTTATCAGAGTTTAATTTCTAATTAATTTTATAGAAATAAATGTACACAAATGATCAATTTAAAAATGACAAACAGTCAATAACTCTTATCCTACCAAAGTTGATCTTGACATTTCATGACTTTTTGGAGAAGACAGAGCATAAATATGTAAGTTAGCACATTATTGATGAGAGTTGATATCACAGTGGCGAAATACTATTATGGGTAAGTTTTATTCAGTGCAGAAGTGGAAGAAATAAGAAAGGATAATAATGGACTTGAGAATTCTGTAAGAAAAAAGCCTACAGAGACTTTTACTTTTATCAGTTAGGAAGTAAGGCTAGAAATATCCCAGTGAAGAGACCATTGAAATAATCCAAGAAAGAGATTTAGATGCTAATAGTAGTGGAGATTGAGAGAATTATGATTCTGGCCAAACTTTAGAGAAAGAGAAAGAAAGGGAGAGTGGAAGGGGCAGCAGAGGAGGACAGCAAAGTTAGTCGGACCCTTGAAACAAGTCATTACTTGCCCAATATGTAGTTTTGTCTTTTATTGGGTAGTGGCATATGAAGGAGTGTGTAAATGTGAGAAAGAAACCTGATTCCATTGTACGCATGTAGATTGCTTCCATTATAATGAAGAAAACTATGAATTTTGAGTAGTGAAATGTAGCAAAAAAGTGAACCTCATTAAATTTAGGTTTTCTTTCCCCCTCTCCTTGTACAATGTATACTCTCTTAAACTCAAACTGCAGTACATGTCACGTCTGTTACTATTTATGATCATTTCAACCCAGAAGAAATATTTTTGAAGTCAGTGCTATTAATCAGTCTTTTCTTTTCATATTTGTTAGGAGCTCTGAATTTTAATAAGAAACACTATGAATTTTAATGAAAATCATCTTAAAAGTAAATGTAAGCTTCATATATATAGTCATTTTGTTTTTATTCCCACAAATGTACATAAATTGTACTTAGTCCAGAAGTTAGTTAACACACGATACCATCTAAAAGTATGCATTAATGCTGAATTTGAGAAATACACAAAGAAAAAATGTGTATGATTCTTGTTTATTTCTCTATTGTTATTTAGTATTTCTCTTTTCTACTCAGTAACATATCAGTGAATATTCTTATTAATTTTTTTGTAAAAGTAATAATATTTAAATATTTTTCAAAATCAATCCAAATGAAATTACTGTAACAAATATTAATATGCTAATAATACTAAAAATGGTAGAAAATAATTTATTTAATCATATCTTAAAATTTAACCATTAAATTAAGTAGATTTACAAAGTTAATCTGAGGGACAGAATTAATACTAAATTATGCATATCTAAATTTAAATATTCCTTCATCTTGCTATTGTAAAAGTATTTTATATTCATCAATGTAGTTTTCTATATTTTATATTTACTTTTATAGACACCTATGTTTCATCCATGCCTGTAATTGATGTTTACATGTCAATCAGAAAATCTTTATTTTTAAATATATTTGGAAAGAAATAGTGTTACATTTCTTTATTTTTTATGATGTCAAAAATATAATGTTTGAAGGAAGTGTTGCAGTTATAAATTATAAAAACTTAACTATTACTTAATCAGTAAGAATGCCTTTTCAGTCCAAGGAAAGATTCATAGTGAGTAGGTGCTACATCATTTTTTGTTTGAATTTTTGAAAATAATTTTTTCATTTTTTTATTGGATTGACTTTGAGATTTACAAAACTATGGAAATGCCTTATTAAAATTGAATTACATAATGCAGATAATCAATCTGGAAAATGTATCTCTAAATAAGACAAACAGTGTTTCCTCCTGAGGTAAATTAATCATTCATCTTACTGGCATAAAACTCCTTGTCCAAATAAATCTGTGACTATACCTTTCCCTTCATCATTCAAGGGATATTTACGGTGTAGCCACAGTGTCCCAGATCCATTTTGGACTCAAAGATAGACACATTCCCTGTTCTCCAGCTCCATCTATTCAATTGGGAAAATCGGAAAATTAACACATGAAATATCACTATCAGCAATGATAGATTCAAGCTGATAGACATAAATCAAGGTAAAGAGATAACAGGAATATGAAAGGCAGTCTTATAGTAAAGGTCAAGAAGACTTTTGGGCTATGGTGAAATATAAGCATATTTCTGAATAAAGACAGATGAACAACAACTGTGTACATTACATGTGTTCAGAAAAACTAAGTAACAATTGCAAAATCTCCCTCTGAGGAGGGAGTGCTGGACAAAGAGACTGGAAAGGTCAGTGAATAAAAGGAATGTTGATTGGAGACAAGGTCATCAATGTCCCATGATGGAGGTCTTGTAGGTCAGGTCAAGGACTCTGAGCTTGGTAATGATAAGGGGAGTTATACACAAATCACCTCTGTTCTAATAGAGTCAGTTTACTCTGTATGCTTTGAGGAAAATCAAACTTAGGAAGTAAGGCTGAAAAAAGCCCAGTGAAAAGATCATTGAAATTAATCCAAGAAACAGATTGAGATGCTCATAGAAGTAAAGACTGCGAGAATTGGTGATTCTGGCTAAATTTTAAAGAAACAGTCAAAACATATTGTTATAAGTATCATCACCTAGAAAATTACACCAAGCAATTCAGTACTTACAAAGCCTGACAGAATACTTGGAGTCACATTCAATGTTGTAACTTGCTGTGATCTCTAAATAAGGATCCACCAGGGGCAATCACTACCTAGTAACCTATTCTGCTGTAAAAGAACACTACAATCTATAGACTACATCTATTAAATCTAAGAAGTAAGTTTTGCAACACAATTTTTGAATTATCTAACATCTATCTATGTGTTGGATTGTATGAAATATGCTTATGTACACATACATACACACATATATATCTTTATCAAAAATGGTGTATGATTTTATGAAAAAGGAATAATGGAAAAATATTCAGCTGAATAAAGTGCATGGAAAACTCAAAATAAATTAAAATGACAACTGTATTTAAAATACAGAATCCTTTTGGGTAAAGCTCATGTAATAAGACTATTAAAGCATTACATGCAGTAGGTTCTCAGAAAACTTTATCTTGCACTTATTATTGGTCTTTGAAGAATGAAGTGAGCAAAAATAATATGAATGTAAATATCAACAGTAGTATTTTAATTTTCCATATGATCTTAAAATTATTTTTTTGAAAGTTTTCCCTTTTGTATCTCAGCCTAGAATTGCAATGCAAGAATTATGAATTCCTACTTAAATCATATTTTTAAGTATACTAAATACATTTAGGAAATCCATAAATATATATCCTACATATGAATACATAGCTGTATTTTAAAGATGAGTTATTTTAAATTTTTGGCTGACAAACTTTTAAGCAGCAGTAGAGGAATGAAATGATATATTCTTCAATTTAACAGAGTTTCTCTTTTTTTAACCCACTTAAAATACATTCAAATGCTCAATGTTCTGAAGCACATATTTTCAATGTTGTTTTATCTTCAAAATCTTTTATTTAGTTTTATTTTACTGTATACTTCTCTCCTTTTCCTCTGTAGGGTGAGGATATATAAAAATGAAACTCGGGTTTACATAAGCTGAGGAGAATGAAGAAAGGTGTCATTTCACTGTATCACATTGCATTCAGAGTAAAATTAGGAAAGTTTGTAAATCTCTCCAAAGCACACAATACTGGTAAAAACCCAAACCAACTCTTACTCTACTCTTGCATATTACACTGAACAAAGTATACAGAAATTAAAATTCTCTTATGTGTTTTTGAATAATATAGCAATACCAACACTAGAAAAACTAGAATAATGCTTCTCAAATTTTCAATCACATCTTAAATCTAGGAGCTGGGATATATTTGCAATGAGAAAATCAGCTGTTTTAAATTCAACAAATTTCTTATATTAAAAAAGACAAATAAACTATATCTTAGTAATTACTCCCTATGAGAAAAATAAAAATAAAATATATACTCCTTGAATATAAAAATGAATAGGAATTTACATCAGTTAAAAAAAATCTCTCAACACTAAATGGATAAATATATTGAGAAACACTTTGGTTTGCTTGTTGCTGAATGAAAACTTAGGTAATTAAAACAGTAGAGTGAATACTTCAGTTATACAAAGAACAGTTTAATATCCTGCATAATTTCGGAAAGAGTCCTGTACCATCTCTATAAAACTGTCCGTTAAGAACGACAAAGTAGTGGTGGCATCTGTTTAAAATGAAGAATGATGAAGTGGTGGCCTATTTATTATAAAATAAGTAAAACATTTTTTGAAATTAAAAAGTTTAACCAGTTTGATGTTATCTTAGCATATTTTTTCATTTTGAATTTACATAACTAAAGATCACATTAAATCTAAAGTAGAAGGATTTTTAAATAGGAGATGAAAGATTTGACTTTTCAACAGAACCCTTTCATAAATAGGCTGTGGCCTCAATTGGTTCCATTGGGCATCTATATTTTATATTTACTCATGAATCAGTAAAACTCATTAATTTTACCATTTTATATGACTGAGAAGTATTTCCACACTATATAACTTGGTAATAGCACCATCATGTGGTAAATTTTAGAATAACTCTCAGGAATAAAATGAAAATAAATTTTAGAATAATTTATATGCTCAAAAAATAATAAATAAGTTTTAAAAATTATATTTTTAGTAACTCTGACATTCCTAATTTCAGAGAAAGGGGTACTCCTTATGTTGTTTCTACAAATATTATGTTCCTGTTTTTTTCCAAATATTTGTCTTTCTCTTCTTTTTTTTTTTTAATTTCTA